AAACCATGAATTGATCGTCCAATCTTCAACTACATTGACAACGGACACTTGGAAACTAATAGAAAAGAGAAGGACAGTGAAACAAAAGATTATCCAGTCCACTGACGAGCAACAAAAACAGGAGCTGAATGCAAGCTACAATACACTGAACAAAAGAGTGAAGAAGAGTGGCAGGGAAGACAAAAGAAAATATTATGAAACCATGGCAAACGAAGCAGAACAAGCTGCAAGGAGACCTCGCCACACTCTACCAAACAACTAGGCATCAATGGGGAAATAGTTCGACACAGATTAAGCCAGTGAAGTATGACAATGGAAAGTCAATCACCAAAGAGGTGGAACAGAGAAAACACTGGGCTGAACACTTCAAAAGACTTCTAAATCGTCCGCCACCTACAATACGCCCAACAATACCAACAACGGAAGCAGAACTACCAGTGAACACTGACCCCCCGACGAAATCAGAAGTCCTGAATGCAATCAAGATGCTAAAAGCTGGGAAAGCAGCAGGGCCAGATGGAATCCCAGCAGAAGCATTGAACATAGACCCAGAGACAACAGCGGACTTGATAACGCCATTGCTGGAGAAGGTGTGGAAAGAGGGCGAAGTACCCGGGGATTAGAAGAAAGGATACTTATTCAAACTTCCAAAGAAACGAGACTTAAGTCAATGTAAAAACTGGCGTGGAATTATGCTTCTGTCCATTCCAAGCAAGATACTAAGCCGCATCATCCTGGAGAGAATCAAACTAGCCCTAGATGAAAAACTTCGACCCGAACAGGGCGGATTCAGGAGAAACAAGTCATGTATTGATCAAATCACCACTCTACGGATCATCATTGAACAAAGCTTGAAATGGCAATCACCTCTCCACCACTTTCAACTTCATCGACTTTGAAAATGCCTTCGACAGCGTCGATTGAGAGGTGATTTGGCAACCACTTCGCTACTACAGACAACGGGCAATGAGGAAACAGGCATAGAATGGACTCACACAAAAAACTTGAAGGATCTGTACTTCGCCGATGATAAATGTCTGATTTCCCACAAACCGGAAGATATGCAAGTGAAAAGCAACAAGCTGGCAGAAGAAGCATCCAGAGAAGATAGGACTTCAAGTGAACATTGAGAAAACAGAGGTGATGAAGATTCCTGGACAACACCAACAGCAACAACAACAACAGACAACAATCAGCCAGCATAAATGGGAGGAACCTGCAAGAAACAACCTCCTTCACTTACCTACCTGGAAAGCATCGTTTCAACTACAGGTGGACGGAACTGACGAGGATATCAAAGCCAGAATCGTTAAAGCAGGAAAAGCTTTCATTACCCTTAAGTCTGTGTGGAGGTCAACATCACTCATAATCAAAAATAAGATCCGGATTTTCAACTTCAATGTAAAGTCAGTGCTACTTACCACACGGATCAGAGACTTGGCGAGTCATAAGGAGCATCACAAACAAACTTCAGACCTTCATCAACAGCTGTCTTCGCTCAATACTCAAGATCAGATGGCCAGAAAAGATCAGCGACAGAGATCTCTGGGAGCGAACCAACACCGCAGGAACCGATTGTGAAACAAATAGGCAGGAAGAAATGTAGATGGATTGGCCATACTCTGAGGAAACCATCAAGTGACATCACTAGACAAGCCATTGCTCGAGTGGAACCAGGCCGAAAGGGAAGCGGGCGGCGAGTTGGTCGTCCAAAGGTGACTTGGAGGAGATGAAAGCATGTAGACAGACCTGGAGCGGGGTGAAAAAGTTGTCAGAAAACAGAAGGCAATGGAGGTGCGCAGCTGAAGCCCTATGTTCCTCTAGGAACTAAATGATACAATAGTAATAAGCCCGGATATACACTTTCGCTCAACGATTGCGTATACCCGAAATTACTTTCTAGCAGTTGTTCACTTGATGCGCAAAAGAGCTTATCCAACCAATACAGAAGTCGGTGATTGGACTCTTTACAGCCTTTATAACCACATGGGCCACCATCCTCACATTCTAAGGACCTATGGTCTTCCCTGGAATAAATGAAACAAAGTTTCACTTGCTCAGCCATTGAGCATCTCTCATTCACAGGGAGTGCGAAGAATTTTCACGCCCATTGACCACAACTTGCACCAAGACAGCTAACACAAGGCAGAGGAAGTAAGTCACCGGCAGAGCGAGTTCTCCGTCAGAGAGCAGACCCAGACAAACTTGATAAACAGGCCAATTCTGTTGCTACAACTGGGGGTTTCGTGTAAAGTCAGCAAAGTTCACATATCCAGTTGCATGATGTAAATTACCCCACAAACAATAGAAAAAATACTGATCTATTCCTAGGTAGCGACCATTGAGTAGGGTTGCAATGAAAGTTGTCTGTTCTACGCCGAGAATAAAGGACGTGGCACAGACCTCTTGGTTGACACAGGAGCTGCACTCTGTATCATACTAAAAGCAAAGTCCTGGATGGGATAATAAAAGTCCCCCATCACGCTACAGGCCGCCAATTAAACCCAAATTGAGAGTTCTGTTAGAAAACACTTGCCCCTGACCTGATTTCCTCGGACGACACAGCAGGTTCCCTTCAAGCCAGTGAGGTAGGCTGCACTGACGTCTCACTCTAACGTCACTCACTGGACGGAATTCCTACCATTGGTAATGCTTGGTATCCAGGTGTCACTAAAAAGTGAAACTTAATGTCCAGCTGTCGAAATGGGGGCGATTATATGGCTTCCCTCCTGTTTGAAGTGGCGCCTCCAGCTTAACCTTAACGGCATTCGCGCCGCTTAGTTGACACGAGATGAGGCTAGTTGTCCAGGCAAACACAGTTGACGTGATTTTGGTGCTTATTTTGCTCTTGCTGGATGAATTAATATGAAAACTTTTGTTCGATATTGTTCTTAAGCATTTTAATATTGCTTGTGCGGCAGGATGCTTAAATATATGATTCATGCAGTAATTGTGCTGTGCCTCATCCTCTTAACTATTTGCGGACGATATTGAGATATGGAAAACCATAAACAGTAAGGATGATATGTTGATTCTACAAAACGATCTAGATAAATTAGCCGAATAGGCTAGCCTTTGGAGTCTAGAAATTAATTCCAAGAAAAGCACAGTGATGCACCTAGGTCAAAAGTCTTACACGCCGTACTCCGTGGCGGATGTTAAGGAACAAAAGGGCTTAGGAATTACTGTAAGCCATGACTTAAAAACAACGGAAAATTCTAATCGAGCTGCAGCTAAAGCTTTTCGAAAGCTATGGACACTTCGTAAGGCCTTTCTAACGATTAAACGAGGGTATGTTCCAAGTACTCTATGCAACATATGTCAGACCTCATCTAGAATGCTGCGTAAAAGCGGTGAGTCCATGCTTCAAGAAGGACGCACATATCCTGAAGAGAGTACAGAGTTTAGAAACGAAATTACTTAGTGTTATCTCACACCTTTCTTATGATAAGGGGATGGAGCATTTAAATCTCTCCCCATTATCATACCGAAGGAGGAGAGGCGACTTGATTTCGGCTTACCGTATATTCAAGGGTGATTTAAGGATTGACCTTTCAAACCTTTTCTCTCCCTCTGGGATAGATTTACAAGGTCACCACAGGAAGGTGCTCAAACCGAGGTCGAACAATACATAATTTCGATTCTCTCACGGAGTGGTCAATGACTGGAACTCCTTACCTGATTCAATAGTAATAGCTCAGTCGGTGAACGCTTTCAAAGAGAAACCGGGTCTCTGCAGAGATGTATATCGCGAGGATTAACATAGGCAACAGGAGCCTTCTATACTTATAATCTGAATCTGAATGCTTAGCGTACATTTCGATGACTGTCTCCGACAAATTTCTTTGCAGCTTGATGGCAACCTGTACTCGGTCATAAATTTCCGGATCAGTTGTTGTCCAGTATATATTTCTGTTGCAGAAATGGAAGAATATGGTTAATATCGAAGTCGCGCATGCTTCTGCACTTTTATGTGGTTTTTTGATTGTTAAAAGCCAATGGAATCCATAGATACAAGCGAAGATGAGTGTTTGCCCACCTATAGTGGTCACACAGGAGGATACTAACAATATTTAAAAAATTAATGGGAATGCAGCGAATTCACACAGCTTGAATGTTGCTGCTGGTTCATCAGTCTATACTGTGAGGAGCTGATTTGCACGTGTTTGATATCCTCTGAACCCTCAGAACTTAAAGGATTTCAGGCAGAAACTAGTAAGGAAGGCTAAACAATGATAAAAATTTGGTCACCTGAAATAAAATGTACATTTCGGGATTGGTGATACAAAACATAAATATATTCTTTGCTTACTTGGAAAGGCGAAAGCAAATGAGACATTGTGCATGTCAAACTGCTAGGATGCTTTACCGAAGGCTGTTAACATAAGTATAATGAAACAGTGGATTTCAGCATCCAAGTTACAGCGTGAATAAATTTAACTAACACCGAAACTTTGACTTCGGTCAGTCTAAAAATAGATTTCTTATTGTAAATGTTATGGTCAAATGAGATAAGCGCGATATACTACCGTCTGATAAAAGGAGTACTCAATCTTACATAATCTTACAGTTAGTGTTACTAAGTGTGTTTTTAAAGCACTTCGTTTTTAGTAATCATCATCTTCACTAAGCAGCAGCAGAGACTTTGGGGACCAAATATAGGTTCCTTCAAGTTAAGCAATGAATAATATCACATGCATCATCTCTTAAGAAGACTTTGGGAAGTGCTATAAACATAAGCCCTAGTAAACTTTTCTTAGGTATGTACATCAGAAGAGTTCAGTAATATCTTTAGTATAATCTTTACAAGATAAGCAAGAATAATCTTTTTTTTTCATTGGGACGCGGAAACTGGTTGTGCTCTTTTGTTTGTAATATCCAAATTTCATAAAGTTCAGGTCACAGTTTGACGCAATGATTTAGTCTTGTTGCCAAGTTACGCATAAGCAAATTTGACAACGACCGAAATCCGCAGAATAAATGCATAATAAAAACACATTATGTCGAAATACCCAATAATCGGATGTTCCGATGTAAATGCCAGGGATATAAATGCAACGAAAGCTTCTAACATCGACCTGTTTTTGGAGTTCCTTAATTGTGTTATGAATAAAGATTTCCGACAGGCTATAAATTTAGCGAAACAGATCCTTGAGCTGGAACCAGACAATAACAACATTCGTGAGTTCCTGCCCTTGTTAAATGACGCAGACCATATGAAATCAGCGGGTTTTTTCCACTCATTTACTGATGATTCTGACTCAGAGCATGAAGACAGCGAGGATACTGACAGTGATTTGCAAGCATCATCTACCGACTCTTCTGATGAGTTTGGTTATACAAGTTCTGATTCTGATTCGCCACGAAATAATAAAAAAACGCATGGATTTTGATGAATTGTTTAGTTAGTTTTCTGAAGTTGTGATTATATAAATGATCCATTTTCAAAATTCTGTACTCTTCTTTTGGAACAAAATTTGGTTAAGAGTTTCACTTTAAAGTTTAAGTTAGGTAAACATAAATTTCACTGTCTTTGTACATAAAAGGAATATGTTCTAAGCTTACAAAGTTGCTGAGCTAACTCTGAAATAATATTCAGACTTTAACATATGTCTAAGAGATGCATAAAACACACCACCAAATATAAAGCACAATTGATATTTGTCACTGACATGAGTTTGTAATGATATATTGAAGTCCAATTATTAAGTTTTCCATATGGAGATCTGGCGCAATACAGAAATATAAAAATGATTTATGGAGAGTCCACTTTTCTTGAAGATGATGTAAGCAATTTGAAACCACACTTATTTTTTACTTCATACTTGTCAATTGAAATAACCTCTGTTTGAATTCAGCCTATACTGCTAACCCATATTGTGATGTTTGTCAGTTATTTCTTCTAGCAAGGGTACTGTGAATTTGTATATCCTTAAAGTGGATCCAGTTATGTATGACTTTTTTTCCTATGAAGTTTAATCCCCTTGATGTTTCAGGTATTTGTACTACACATTTTTAGATCTATTTTTAGGTCTTTTTGCTTATTCATAAATATGATTATTTTGTGATTTTGTTAACTGCAGTTACTACTTACTACAGCTGCTGGAGCCACTTGTTAAAAGTCGAACTACTTTGGGCGGTTTCGTCACTTCAACTAACAGTCAGACTAGAATACCTTATCACTGTATGCGCGTTTCTATAGGTGACAATGTTTCCTGCTCCTCAGTATGAATTACATTCCTTAAATAGCAACCGTAAGATTGCAATGGTCTCCTCAGTTCTATTCTAAGTTTCTTACTTCATTAGAATAGTAGTGAAGAAATTTAGCCGGTAGAACTTACCGAGCAAATGATAAGGCGAAAGATAAGTTATATCAAATTGGAAAATTATCTAACTGGCTTGTTTGATTGCAGTAGCATATATCTTTAGACTAGGATTTGTATGCTTTCATTTAGTCTTTGTCCACTCAGGAATATTATTTGCGGTCAACTTCTATCTGCAATGAATTTCATACAACCCCATGAAAGTAGCTCACTGGTAGAATTTCTTATCCCAATAAATAGAATTTAGTGACTATTATTGCACTTCAGCATATAATATAATAGCTAAATTAATTTTTAGAGATGTATTCAACAATAGATATATATTTATTCAACGTATCTCTGTGTTTATCTTCTAAAATTGCATTATGTAGATTTATTCGCTCCTATTTGTCTACGAACTCATATGATCAACTTATTAAATCATGCGGACTATTGATTTTGAAATTTTTATCATTGTTTATCCATTTAATCAGGATGGCATAAATCTGATCAGTTCATGTGCGCGTGTGTCTGTATGAATAATAGGTGGCTTAAGAATTCTTTGAATAACGCGAGTCATTTTATGAGTTCATCATGTCAACCTAGACCTGTAAGTCACTGAAGAAGAAACTGTGAAGTGTTCTGTCTTTCACTGCTACACGAAATACACTGTTCTCTGGATGTCTGAGTCGTCGACTGCACTTCTTTCTGTTGAGCTCTTGGCTAACTTTGATTTTATGGAAAGTACATTTCCAGGAAATGAAACAGTACAAAATTCCGCTTCTATCTTCTGTCTTACCTATATGATGGTCGGTCGTAGGACTAGAGCGCCATATTTTAAATAAAATCATGACAGGTGTTGCCCGTCGATAAGTACATCGATTTACATCAACCCAACGGGTCTATCCTGGATTTCCACACGTTACATAGTGTCTTAGTTAGTCCAGTCAACATCTTATCATCATTACCCTTAAACACCGCTGGAGCCATAACACTGGTTATCGCTTAGTTCTAAGTTAGAAACAATTTTCGCAACTTCAGTTACATTTTTTGAGTAAGTATGCCTGCATTCCACTCAGACGTTCTGAAATCTGGGGGAATTTAGTGCAGCTATAGGGCATTTGACCTGTTCCTCAGAGCCTTCCTTCCAATATTACAGTCGCCTGACCGGAGAGATAATTAAAGTACCGTTATTGTCGGAAATCACTTCACTTACCTTAGGTTTGAACAAGTCACTAGTGGATCTAAATACATGTCTGGTCTTTCCTACCACTGATAACTTTAGTTCAGCCACTATTTTGAAAGTTGCATTTTCATTTCAGAAAAAAACGTGACTAAATTCTTTAAAGCGGTGAAAAAAACCACGAACACCTTAATCATGTTGGGCGTGATGAGCATTTAAATTTCAGTGTAACGTGAACATTTGCACTTTTAAGCATACTTTTTGATCTTACGTATTTTGATAATTAAATTTTGTCAAACCAGATTGAAGTTATATCAAGAATTATTTTAGTGACCACCAGAAAGAATAAATGACAAACAATTCATGCAGCAAACTATCCGACAACCTATCGCCAAAAATAACTCAGGAGAAAATGGATATGGATTAGGCAAGCTCAGTAGAGATATTGAAGTGATACCACACTCAAGTTAATCCCTTAAGTGGAACTGAGATTGGAAGAGAGGAGTCATGCATCCCAGTGAAACGTGACAGAGGTCATATAAAGAGAAAATGAATTATTGTGAGTAGTTATAGGGTCAATTGAAAGTAATAACAGGGGACCACTGGCAATATAGATGTGCCACTGAAGGCATACATTCCACTCGGAACTTGACGAACTAATTGCAGTAATGTTATTATGTTAATTATATCTTTTCAAGGTGAATAATTCATTTCCTACTTATGTGAGGACAAAATATCAGTTTTTGGGGTTGAAATTCAGACATGGGAGCAACCCGTGATGTTATATTTTAAGTTTCCCTACACTTCTTAACGGTTTTCTGAGTTACTTGGCTCTCTAGCAGATTTTATTCTTGTTCTATAGTCTTAATCTGAACTTTTTGTGACGTTTGCTCTTAGTTTATCCCACATACTGTAATTTTAAAGATAGTTGTATTGTGATAATTTAAGAGATTCGATTCTCGCATATCTATGAATCCTATGAAATACAAGTGATTTCCTGGAAAACATCATCAACATAATCATAAAGTATAAATCATATAAATGAAATATTTACAAGAACGTGTGTTATCTTGCAATCTGACAGTTTTGAATATTATGACAATGGAGCATTTAATCTTCTGTATGCTTTGGTTAGTGCCTTAATGACCCATGATTGTCGACATACAGTGTTTGAAAGTAAGAAACGTCTACACTCATTGTCATCACTCACACGTGAATTAATGGTTTCAGTCAACCAGGATTTCTGAGTCTGTATCCACGTTAAAAGTGGTCACTAATAAGTAGTCACTGATATTAAATTGTTACGTATGACAGATATTCATACCAACTGTAATCGCATCCATATATGCACATAGTTAAACAAGCAAAAATAGAATGAATTAGTTGTAAAGTGTTCCTCATTTAACAATAGTTCTCTGTCATATGCTATTTTAAGATGAAATTTGTATTAAGATGATCAGTCACCCACAAATGATACAGCTTAAAACTGATATGAAAGTTAAGGAAAACAGATACAGAAGACTCTGTTGATGCGATGTTTTCATGTAAAAGAATTCTTAATGGTTGAATTATTTGCAAAACAATGAGAAATTCCTGTTGAGCAAGTCACTACATTTCTTTCTGGCTACTTTATTTTTGAAGTTAGTTTCTTTAAAACCATCTATATATTTTTTGTCATTCTTCATTCTTCTCTACCCTATTTTTTCAGACCAAACAAACAATGAATGCAGTTCATCAGGAATGGATTAAAGAAATATAAATAAAATATAAAGAAACTCCTGTAATTGACGTTGTTATTCGAAAGACAAAATACTCAAAAAGCGTAACGAACATTTGAATACTGAAAATGATTAATTAAAATACGTGAAGAATGTTTTCATCTGACTACACTGTTCGAAATAAATGATAACTGATAGGATTAATTAATTAATTAATTAATTAGGAAATGTCACTTATTATAAAGAAAAGATGATAATGTTTGATTATTATAGGAAGGGGATATAAAATCCGTGTCCAGTAGCATTCATCGGTAAGGAGTGCTTTCAGCGTGAAATGAGCTTATGCCCCTGAGAGACTGGGATGCAGTTGTACAACTAAGGATTCTCGCGAGTCACTTTCGGAAATCTCATGCCAGTTCGGAGTGCACCTCAGAGGGTCACTTTGAATGGTGAAAAACTTAAGACTTTACTTATAGAAACCATTCAGCGCAAAACGCTAGACACAGTGGTATTATTCACCTCCTAGAGATCAGTTAAGAAATTCATACATTTATTAGAAAACTAGTCATATTTAATATTTTTTTGATTTTTGATTACAGCTTGATTCCACGCCGTATTTTTGGTATAAGTATGGAATTTTCAGCATGGATATCGGTAGCCCAAAATTTCCAGGCCGACCGTAGATATCAGATGTGCGTCGGAGAGGGCTCGCACCCCGGATCATGTGCATGGTCGGCGAGAGTCCTAACCACTGTGCCACCGACGCAGTGAACCAACAGTCCCATGTTCACTGTGGAAAATATCACCTCTCAAAAAGTAGTAGCAGCAGTAGTTGTTGCTGTTGTCAATATATTCCTGTACACCTGGAATGAAGAAAATTTCTCGAATGAGAATGAAATACCTTTTCTTCACTAAACATAGACTTAGTGGTATTCTACACGTTTGTAATGCTAAGGAATAGGACTAAATTATATATATATCGAGATATTGAAAAAGCCTGAGTATTTTGTACGACCGTGAGCTTTTTCCATGTTAGTATACATTTATGAAAATCCACTGCACAATACTAAGTGATAACATTTGTTCAATGCGTGATGTGGATGATCTACCAATATTTATTAGTATTTGTCATTTATCAGTGTCATCTTTTGCTAAGCAGATTTATTCAGTTCCTCTCGACATTGTTTATA